TGGCATGTAAACAACTAAATACCCCCTATGATTCAATAGCTTGTAGAACAACTTTTACCATAATTTTAAGTAGTCGTTTTTCATATGACTATCAGTCGCTCACACATCTCTTCACAGCACTGTTTCTGTTCATTGAGGTTTTTGGGGATGTGTTTCAGCACATCACTTTTAAGTTTTCCCCCCACACACCTTTACAATACCTTGATTCTTTTCTTTTTCAGTCATTCTGTTGCTCGTGTGCTTGGGATCATTCTCCTATTGCATGATGAAATTAGCTTTAACTGTCAGACAGATCACATTTGACTGTAGAATGATTTGGTATATAGATGACTTCCTGGCTGACTGAAAAGTTTCCCAGGTCCTGTGGCTTCAAAACAAACCCAAATTGTCATCTTTCAACCACCATACTTGACAGTTGGTGTGAGGTGTACAGTGCTATGTTTTCTCTGAATGCAACTATATGGGCTAAAATCGCCTAGAAGTCTTGTGATTAATTCAGATAAAGCTTTTGCAAACCAACTCATATGGAAAAGAAATAGTAAAAACACATATGATTTACTCATGAAATTGGCCACTTTCTCATTACTTTCATATATATATTTTTAGTAAGTATCCAAAACATACAAGTTTCATTATATAATTTTTCAAGGGATCTTATGTCTTTTCACTCTTGTATGCTTTTCATACAAGTTTCATACAAGACAGATACAAACTTTATAAGATTTATATATATCTTTTCCATATGGGAAAGCTGTGCTCTTATGTTCTTTTTAGGAAGTAAAGGTAACTCCTCCAAATAAGCAATAATTGTACATTCTTGTAATTCTAGTTTCTAATTGTACTGTAATGAACTTTAACATTTAACATGCTAACTGAGACCTGCTGAGATGTTTTCCACTGGTGAATAATTAGTTTCACTGTTGAATGATGGACTTCAGATAGTTTGGAAATGGCTTTATAACTCCTCCCACACTGGTGGGCAGAAACAACTGCTTCTCTAAAATAATTAATGATCTTTCTCTATCAGCCTTTGAGGCTGAAGTCAAGGTTTCTTTTTGTTTCTGTGAGAAGGTCTGAAGGTATGAAAGGTATGAAAGCTCCTATGCAGTATGCAATATAAAACTTACCTTTTTAATCTTATTCTATGTATTTATCTATTTATTTGTTTTTGTATTATTTTTGTCTCTTGTTGCTCTTAACTGCTTTTTTTATTTAAAGTTTAAAGCATTATCTTTTTTTCATTAGGTGAGACTGTCCCATGAAAAGGGAAAAGAACATTCACTCATATATATGAGGTATATTCCTGTTCTGGATTCATAAGTTAGCTTCTTTTCAGAGCTCTTAGTTGTTGACAGTTATTACAACTTTTGAAGAGTCTCATAATTTAGAAATCTCAGGAATTGTCAAGAGATGACAAATGACAATTCTTAGTCTATCTTATAATAAATCAATGAAGGTGTGATTTAGGAAATTGAGTTCTGAGACCTCACATCTGTAAGTATTCTGATACGCCCATTGTCATTTTGATTGACAAGGCCATAGCAAATTATGTAATCTATTAATTACCTGTCATTTTAATTGTCTTTTGTTATGATAATGATGCAAATATTATGGCAGTTCATTTTAAAAATAACTTTATCACAATAATATCTAGTTTACGACACAGTATGCAGTATGCATTTGAGGGCAAAAGATGAACAGTGGCACTGCTCGTGTGGTCATGTCAGCACCCCAAATAGGAGATAATTATTTTCCCCCATAATAACCTCAGGGACCACTGACACACCACAGCTATTGTGCCTAAAC